AAGACCTGCCCATTGCATGGCACCTTTTTTTTCTGCTCAACTCACAGTCAGACCTCCTCCGACCAACTCTCCGCAGATTCATCAGACTCCTCCAAGTCCAGGACCAACGCTTCATATCGACATTTCAGGTGTACGGCATCGATCTCGTCCTGGGGTTTATGACTCTCTAGGATTCGTTGTTCAGGCAAAGGCTTCTAGCTCTCGAGGTTTAAAGCCCTGATTGTCCTTGTCGTACTGCTCAGCGTCGTCGCCATCACCGGTCGTCGTGACATTGGCAGCAGTCCTTGTGGCGTCATGGATCTTCTTGGGCAACTCCTGCAGGGTTATTGAAAATCCCCTACATCTTGCCAAAGACAGGCCAACTAACCCCTACTAGATCTAGCTAACCCATCTGTGGCGTGCCGGAGCAATTTTCTACTTTTGGCTTAACCCTTAAAGCCCTGAGCCCTGGCCTTAATCCCTCCAGCCTCCTTGGACTCTGCAGGCTTCGAATCCACTTTCTGCTTTTTGGCCTCCGGCTCCTGCAGGATTTTTTTTTTTACAACACAGCCAATACATGCACCCTAAAGGCGAATACCCTAACCCGCAGAACCCCTGAATCGCAACCCCTCAAGCCCGAAAGCCTCTACACCTGTAACTGCTCCAATGCGCCAGCCTGGGCATTGGTGGAATCACGCGGATCCCTCGCGGCTTCCTGCACGGAGCAACTGAACTATGCACCCAGCCCTAAACCGCGGGACCCAAACCCTGGAACCATAAAATTTCACAGGGCCTCAGCTGGCTTGAAGCGGCCCAGCAGCGCCGGCGGCGGTGCCGGGGGCGGTCGCTTGCTTGTAAGATAGCGATTCGGATGCATGGCGCAGCTGCCGTCTTGGCCAGAAAGCGCCGGCGGCGGTGCCGGGGGCCGTCGCTTGCTTACAACATAGCGATTCGGATGCATGGCGCAGCTGCCGTCTTGGCCAGAATCCTAAAAAATGAAGTAAAACCCTGAAGCCCAGAAGCTAGCCAAAGCCCCAAGTGACAATAAAATCAGGCTTAGCGACTAGTCCGCCCAAGTCAGCATAGACTGGAAAAACCGGAATTATTTCCTGGAGGACCAACACCTGGAGCCAGAATAAGTCGAAGACATGGCTTCGGAAGGTTCTAGAAACCACAACCCCCCGAATTGAGCACGAAAACGCTCCACTCTAGTAGCCAGGACCCGATGTGAAAATATAACCGGCTTTGGGACTGCTAGAAGCTTATAAACCTAAACCCATCCACTGACCATTCCAGTGGCCCACTCGCCACTTCCAAATCGCGGTACCGAAAACCAAATCCCAGGCCTGCAGGGTGGCCGAAGAAACAGCAGGCCAGGGCCGACGAGCATTCCTGTTGCAAGGGCCCAAGGGGTTATTAAGTCTTAAGCTTCGGGCTTTGGGGTCAGGGCTCCTAGGCAGCTCTATGTTTCAGATTCAAGATTCCAGCTCACGACATCCTTTTAAAGTTTGCAGGCCTGGGGTTTAATTTCCCCGGGTTGAAGGGTTCAGGCTTTGGTTTTTTCAAACTTTATTGTTTCGCAGTGCAAAGACTTGTCTGTGATGTAGGTGGGTTTCTATTTGTCGATGGACCGAACAAGGCCCGTGATGCTTTCCTTGGCTTGACGTGCTCATGGAGCGAGCTCTTGGATTCGACTGAAATTGGAGCCCAAAGTTCTAATTTTGTCGAGAGGCTGCTTCTGTCAGAGGTCTGGGTCAGGGAAAGACGCAACGTCTCTAGGCACTGGTTCCTAAGTTCACGGGAATGGAATTGAGTATATAGCGAGGGTGAAGCTCTCGCTGGGTTGCCTGTCGCACAAGCTCTTTCATCCAGGCTGCGCGCTTGCTACATGGCATCGCGTTTCTTCCGCAATTCAGGAAGCAAACCTTTGGAAAGCTTCATGGTAAATTAATTCCGTACCACAATTGGGTATAAAGCCCCCGTGAAAATCTCTGGACTTTTAAATCTCTGTCTTTTCACATTCGAAGTCCTCCACCGGCCTGTCCAACCATGCCACCGCATCCCGGTCGAAAAAGTCCATGCATTTGGGGGCGTAGTTTATGATGTCATGCAGACTGCCCAAGTACACCTGGTACTGATCCTTCCACTCAGCAATCTGCCAAGCCGCGAACTGGCATCGGAGGTCTCTCGGCATTCGCGACGGATCGAGGGTCAGGTAGACAAGAACTTCGGCCATTTCGTGACGCAGGCTCGCGCTGAGCCGCTCATGGCCATCCCAGTTCGGAGCCACCATCTCCAGAAACAGTGCGTAGTTGCCACCGCCCACCGCCAACGCTGACCCAAGTGACGCCATGCCTCGGTCATGCCAATCTCGCTTTTGCAGACGTGACAGGCCTTCGTGCCACTCCAAAACGAGTTCCATGAATCTCTGCGCATCTCCGTCGTGTATCAGGCTCTCGTGCACCGGCAAGAGGTCATTCCGTGCACGTACAAAGATTTCTGGAGCCATGCTTGGGAGACAAGACTTGCAGTGGCGAAACTGATGGATGATCTCGGACTGTGCCTTCCCTGCGCAAGTGGTAAAACGTGCTAACCGCAGGGGCACGGGGCCCGAAGGAACCATATTCCATCTGGGGTGTGGTATGTATACATCAGTCTGGCCTCCTCCCTGCTAGAGTGCAAACCACAAATGAATGCTTATTCCGGCAAACCCAAACCACAAATGAATGCTTATTCCGGCAAACCCCAAATCCTGAGACCCCTAACCCTAGCTGCCCTGGCTAGCAACCACAAATTATTTAGCGTCGAAAACACATAAGCCCTCAACCCCAAGACCGAAACTCTGAAAGCCAAAGGTGTGCCTGGTCTCGGAGAACTTCGGGTGGCAGCCGCGGCAAGCCGAGGCAGCCTGCATGCAAATGACAGGGTGTCCGGGGTTTTTGGTTTAATAAACCACAGGCGTGCTTAGGGCCTAGGGTTTGGTATAAAGGTTTCGGGATAATTTCTCGCTGGTTTTCGTAGCAGGTGTTTCGGGGGCTCGGGTGGATTCGGGGGTTTCGGGGCTTTATGTGCAAACCATACATGAATGCTTATTCAGGCAAACCCCAAATCCTGAGACCCCTAACCCTAGCTGCCCTAGGTAGAAACCACAAATTATTTCAAGTAGCATTGCCTAAAAACGGAACCTGGGCCCCGGAATATAAAGACCAAACCCCTAAACCCCAAGCCCCAAAGTGCCGGCATCTTTTCTCAGCCTGCAATCAAGCTCTGCTCACCATTTGCGAGCCCTCCATCGTTGAAGTCGCTGCCTAACGTCGCTACGCTCGTCTGTGGGCCTAAACGTCACCTCCTGAAGGCTGTCAGAAAGGTGTCCAGGCTGGTGGCCCGCATCGTTTCGCCTTTTGAGCAGCAAGAGAACCCTTTTTGTCGTGGCTTGAGTTCCAATTGCGGACTTCGAGGCAAAATTCTTATAATAAGCCACCAGGAAAGTTTGTAAAGTGTGTACTATACACTCCAAGTCGCCATCCTCGCAGCTTCCAACCAAGCAAGAGCCTTCCTGGTCTGGAGATCGACCAAGCCCTTCCATGCCCTTTTTCTCCAAATCTTTGCTCGTTTGGCCTTGGCTGACATCTGAACCCCTCCCACAAGTTAAATTGCCTAGTTCATGGTTGGGAGAATATGAAACATGTACATTTGTCTTGTTTATTGGGATTATGTGCCCATGAAAACGTAAAATGTTACCCAACAACTATGACCAAGATACCAGGCCACAGAAAAGCCAGCCCTCGTCTGCCCGAGGCTTGCAGTCAGGTAACCGAGAGCGGTGCACATGAAGACGTAGACATTCGCAACATCCGCCTGAAGCTTGCTTGCCATTTCTGCCGGCTCGTTCTCGTCGTGCCAGGCTATGTCCGGCTCGTTGTCGTCGTACCAGGCTATGTCCCGGGACAGGAATGCCTCCAAGAAGCGACGGTGCCAGCAGTGTGCCTGTTTGGCAACAGCCCAGGCGAGACAAGTTTAACTCTTAGCCTATGGATCATATACTAACCCAAACTAACCTGAAAAACGCCAAGTCACAAACGTGCGACGGGACATCCTTCTCAACAGAAACAAAAGTGCAGCAGCATGGCGGGAGGGCAGAGAGGGCCGAGAGGCCCGAGAGGGCAGATGCTCGAGAGGTCCTCGAGCCGGCAGACGGCTGCGAGGCAAAGCATGTTGCCTGCTATTTTTATGGACACCGGACCATGGGGAAAATCAGATTCTTTTGTTTCTGTGGTTTTCAGGGGTCGGGTAAAACGAGGGCGCTTACAGCAACGAAGCGGGGGGGGGAGAGTAGGATGTGACGCGAGAGGCACAACACCTCTGATCCCGATAGACTTAAATTAAACCACTGAACTCAGCGATGGAATATAGCGACTAGCTAGCTGTCGAAAACACATAAGCCCTCAACCCCAAAACCAAAACCCCGAAACCCAAAGGTGTGCCTGGTCTCGAAGATCTTCGGCTGGCAGCCGCGGCAAGCCGAGGCAGCCTGCATTCAACTGAGAGGGTGTCCGGGGTTATAATTTCTTTTTTACCAGAGGCGTGCTTTGGGCCTTGGGTTTGGTATAAAGGTTTCGGGAAAGTTTCTCGCTGGTTTTCCTAGCAGGTGTTTCGGGGGCTCGGGTGGATTCGGGGGTTTCGGGGCTTTATGTGCAAACCATAAATGAATGCTTATTCCGGCAAACCCCAAATCCTGAGACCCCTAACCCTAGCTGCCCTGGCTAGCAACCACAAATTATTTAGAGCAGCATTGCCAAAAAACGAAACCTGGGCCCCGGAACATGAACACCAAACCCCTAAACCCCAAGCCCCAAAGTGCCGGCATCTTTTCTCTGCCTGCACTCAAGCTCTGCTCAGTCGTCTGCGAGCCCTCGATCGTTGAACTCCCTGCCAAACGTCCGTCTCCGCAGGCTGCTGGGTAGTCTGTAGGCCCAAACGTTTGTCTCCGCAGGCTGCTGGGTAGTCTCGGGGCCTAAACGTCACCTCGTGAAGCCTGCGAGAAAGTGGTCCAGAGCGCCTGCGTCGTTTAGCCGCTTCAGGAATCGGAGCACCCGATCGTGTTTGGTCAGTGGCTTGCGAAGTCTGGGGGCTTGGCTGCTCATCGTGGCCTGAGTTGAAATTCCGGACTTCGAGGCAAAATTGTGAGAATCTTTATACACAACGTGTATAAAGTAAATTGTGTACTATCCACTCCAAGTCGCCATCCGAGCAGCTGCCAGATAAGCGTGAGCCCTCTTCATCTGGAGATTGCCCAAGGCCTTCCATGCCCGTCTTGTCCAAATCTTCGCTCGTTTGGCCTTGGCTGACTTCTGAACCCCTCCCACAAGTTAAACTCTTAGCCTATGGATCATAAACTAAGCCAAACTAACCAGAGAAATGCCAAGTCACATACATACGACGGTACATCATTCTCAACAGAAAAAAGTGCAGCGCCATGGCGGGAGAGCAAATAGAGCCGAGGGGGCGGAGATGGCAGATGCTCGAGAGATTCTCGAGCCGGCAGACGTCTGCGGAGGAAAACATGTCTGCTGCTATTTTTGAGGACACCGGACTATGGGGAAATCCGCTTCTGTTCTTTCTATGGTTTTCAGGGGTCGGGTAAAACGAGGGCGCTTACCTCAACAAGGAGTTAAGGGTTTCAGGGTTTAGGTTGTAGGTTGTAGGAGGAGTTCAAGGTTGTAGGGTCCTGGTTTTATGTGTTCATGGTTAAAGTAAAGGTTATAGGGTTGAAGCTTCTAGGGTAAGAGGTTTCAGGGTGCTTTAGCTTTCAACCGACAAGAGGTTGGGTGTCTTGAAGTCCTGATCATCTTCAATGGGCAGCCTTCCTAGCAAGCCTGGAGCGAGAAGATCAGTCAGTTTGAAGCCAAGCTGTGAACACGTGGCCTATGGCCTTATCGATCCTGTCGTCGGAGAACTTTCACGTCCGAACCGTATCCATATGCATACAGACTGACCTTGACATACTTGGTTACCTACACAG